TCAGTGTTATTAGTAGGCCTCATGGAAACATTGGCACACTTTGTAAATTCTTAAGATTATCTTTTGTTTCGTAGTAAAAGTTACTAGGCCTATTATCTACATTAAAGTATTTCAGTATCAGTATAATGTTCAGTCTTATGTTGTTCTTTTAATAGTTTGTGCAATATTTTGTGCCTCATAAATGTATAGAAAAACACCTAAAAATAAATATAAACATATTAAAATAAAAAGTTAAATTTTGATATTGTAGTAAATAGAAATAAGTACAAAATTAATGTAGTACTCACATAGAAAAATCACTACTTTTTTCAATAATATGCTCAAATTCTGCAAAACTAAGTGCTCCATCATCATCAAGATCTGCTTCCTCAAGGATACATTGAAGAACTTGTTGTATATCTGTTTCACTTAATCTTAGTGGCGAACTAAGTCTATCAACTACTTGCCTTAAATCTCCTATGCCAAGCATGTCATCCCCATCAAAATCTATACATAATATATCACAAGTCAATCAGTAAATAAAATTTATAACAAGTAGACACTAAATAATAACAAAGATATTACCAAATATTCTGAAAGCATGTTCTGCTTTTACAGCTTTTGGAGCTGCATCACTAAAAACGGACATCATGTCTAAAAAGTCTTCGAAAGTACAATCTCCATCTTGACTAGAACTAAAAACTTTGCAAATCCTATCTCCAAAAGGATTTACTCTTAATTCAGGATATAGTAAAATTTTAGACATTGGGAGCTTTGCATTTCTATTATGACCAACTTTTTCTGGAGCAAGTGCTTTAAACTTTTGATGTGCACTGTCATAAAAAATCAAAATTTTAAACATTAATTAGGAGTCGTTAATAAACTATTTATATTAGATCCAAAAATATAAACAGCTACTGATATAACATAAAAGTACTTTTATATAAAACTTTGTTCTTTTTAAAACATTCCTTGCTTTTAATTTGTAACTAACATACATTGTACCTATTTTTTTAATATATTTATTTTATAAATCACAATGTAACATATCCTATAATGCTGTTATATATGTGAAGATTACAAATTTAGTTAATTACCTATTATCTTTTAAAATAACTGGAAAATGCAGTAAATATTTTTTTTTTAAGCATGCACCTATTCTGTTTTGAAATAAAATAGTTTGAAGTCCTAAAGCAATGTAATAGTAATTCAAACATATCTAAAAATGAAAAAGAAATAACCTAAAGTAATCATGTATTGTTATTATAAAGAATATAATGAACAGTTACATATCTTTTTCTTCTCTAATTATATCATATAAATTTACAAATAAAATTGTGTAAAAATAAAAACTGTAGAAAACACATTTCTATATAGATATAAGACACTGAAAAGCTATTATGTATGTATGAATGAAGATTATTGAAATATACTTACTGCAAAACTTCTTTTTTCGTAAAATATGTCAAATCCTACAATATATAATAACATTAAGTAATAAATAAAGTTGACAAATTATAATATTGAACAAAACGAAATACTTGGTAATCTTGTAGTTCTTCTTCAGTGAACTGACTTTTACCTACTCCCATTTTATGTGCGACACAAAAATTATTTTACTATTTTGTACTCAATTTTAACACATTGGATACTTATTTTTAAAAATCAAGTTCGCAATATTCTATATGTTCTGCTCGACTTTAGCGCCTGAAACGATCAATAAATTCATCTTATCTACAGATGACGTCTTTTAACTTGTATCTATAACGTAAGATAATGTCGAGAGTAAACAAATGTAGTACTACTTTTAAATAATTTTCAATGAATATTATATCAAACCAAATTGACTACATTGCCTTTATTAAAACAAAACTTAATACATAAAGAAATATTAACATTAACATTATTTATAAGTCATATTATAAATGTAGAGATATTAAGTTACATTATAGGTGATACTTCGCGAATATGTAATTTTTTAAGTATTCTACATTATATCCTTATTTCAAACATGATTAATTGTAATTAAGGAAGAGCTATTTAAAAGTTATTTCTTTTATAATGAAAGTATTTTAAATTAATTTTAATAATGTACAGAAATATTACGAAAAAAAGTTCATTCAAATTTCAGTTGTTTTAATAAAATCATTTTCACATTGAAAAGATCTAACGCGTTTTTAAAAAATATTCTGTATAACTTGGAAAATGTATAAATTCTTTATACAATATACATTTTCAGTAAGAAGCATTAAACATTGATACTTTTCTTGTGTATTTGTTTTTATGTTTTATTATTTACGTTATTTTAATTTTTGAAATATATTATTAATATTTTTGAGTCCAATAAATTAATTTGTTGTTTAATGAAATTTTCGTTGTGTTAGGTTTGTAAAACTGATTTAAAATATTGCTTCATTATTAAGACACATAAATGTGAAAGTGAAATAACCCATAAACTGATAATTTTCGTACCTCAGTTGCCTTTTGTAAAGGTGAAAAATTATATTGAATTGTGTATCCACAAGTATGAGATCCCACTTTAAATGGGTGTGTTTACACTTTTTAAATGTATCAATGCAGGAGAGTGCTTAAAAGTAATATAGAAACATGTAGCATTTAATATTATTTTATTTTATCTTATGACATATTTGTCAATCTTTAACTACTTTGAAGATGAAGTTGTACCAGTTGTATGGGACATCTTGTATGAGAAACATAATAATGCTTCTAAACATGTTCATAGCTTTGAACATTTTTAAGGTTTAATGCTGTGTTAGAAATTCTTTTATATTTTAGACTGAAGTTTTGATAGCTTGCTTAGAATTTGTGAAAATATAAAGCAAAAATACACGAAGGAAACAGAATGTATGGAATATGTATTATGAAAAAAGTTTGTATTTTCTAAACATTACTTTTTACAAGATACATTAGCAATTTATGGTATTTTTTTTTATTATAATATTGCAAAATAAAATAGTATTTCTATATACATATGTACATACAATTATATTTCAATTTATAAACAATAATAGAATAATTTATATCAAAGAGCTCTTCATTCAGCTTTTATAATTCAACATTTTATCCTTAAAATATAAGTAAATAACTATTTAAGTGCAAAATAATTAAAATAACGATAACATAGATAAATGACACATGATAAATGTTTTCAAACATACTCAAAGTGTAATTTATACTTTATAATATTACACATTTCTATATTTTACACACTAA